AAATATTATCTTTTTATTTTCTTAAATTAAGCAATTTAATTTTTGCTAGGAAATACTCCCTTATTTACTTTTAATAGTTTTATTTTCATTTTTTAATTTTTACAATATAAATTTTAAATAAAAATTTAATATATTATATAAATAATAATTAAAATTTTTTTAATGAAATAAAAATATTCGATAATAACTTCAAATATGAAAAAAAATTCAATTGATATTTATATAAAGTGTTAAATTTTCATTTAAAATTTATGTTTAAAAAAATTAAAATTACTACAAATAAATATACAGAGTAAGGATGAAAAAATACAACTAAAATAATCTTGTCAAAGTAGTTTGTATTACTTCTTGTAAACCTTATTATAATTATCTTACTCTTTGACAAGATGATTTTAATTATTTTTCTTCGTCCATACTCTCTCAGTTCATATTATTTTAATAGTTCTATTTTAGTTTTTTAATTTTTTAAAAATATAAATTTTAAATAAAAATTTAATATATTAAATAAAAAAATTAATTTTTTTATCAAATAAAAATATTAGACAAGAACTTCATATAGAAAAAAAATTAATTAATATTCATATATATTGTTAAATTTTGATATAAAATTTATATTTAAAAGGTTAAAAAAAGTTAACTTAGAATTGCTAAAAATGAATGAAAAGACTAAGGACAAAAAAAATAATGAAAACAATTTTGTCAAAGTAGTTTGTACCACTTTTTGTAAACCTTATTACAATTATTTTTCTATGTCCATTCAATTTTAGTTTATTTTATTTTTTAATAAAATAAAAATATAATAATTAATAGATAAAATTTTATTTTTATTCTATTTTTAAAGAAAATAATAAAAGAAAACTTCCATTATATATACTGTTATGTACGTGCTGACTTAAAACAATAATTATATTAAACATCTCAAATTAAAAATAATAATCATAAGTTAAATAGAGATAGATTTTTTTTTTTTTTTTAGAGAAATAGAGATAGATTTAGTATAAATAGTTTTTAAACCGGACAAATGGGTCATGTCACGTAGGGTTCGGGTCTTGGGTTTATTAAGTTTGATTATTTCAAGTTTTGGGTTAGAGGAGTGGACCCATGCGTCCAGGATCTACCCAAACTGGTCTAACGAAATTACAATGTGACATCTGGTACATTGCGCGAAAGCAGAGTAGTATGAGCAGTTTTGCAAGAAAGAGAATTTTGGAGCTTTTCCGTAAAGAAAAGTTGCGTAAAAATAAAAAAGGAGGTTGCCCATAGCCCATTTTTAATTAGGCCTTAAAACGTAGTATATTTTAGAGATTTAATTAGTCTTAATTTTTAAATTGTTTAAATATTTGAATTTTTTTAAAAAGTTAATCAAATCTACGGTTGGCTTATCCAGATTACGGTGAAAAAACTATCTTTAACTGTAAGTTTTTGCAAACTTTTGTCTTAATTACTAAAAATAGAAAAGTTTAGGCAGTTAAATTACTTTAATCAGTTTAATGATTGGAGCTGCTAGTTGCATTGTAAATTAATCAAGTTAATTAGATTTAATCTTGACCACTTAAGCAGTAAACGGTAATCTCTTCTATAAGTAAAAGAAAAGACTTAAGGTTCAAAACTTCAAATTGCTTAATATGTGAGTGAATTGGGTTAAAAAATAAGAAAAAGTAATCTTTAATTATGTAATTTAAAATAAAAAAATATATTTATCAAATTCAAATCATAAAACAGTGAGGTAAGTTAATTGATACAAAAGATTACTTTAATTATGTAATTTAAAATAATCAAAAATAAAAAATAAATAAAGGAAAAAGTTTATTAGATATGATGTGCAAGTCCTGTCATGTGGTTGTCAAGGTGCATGCAAAAAAAACAATCAGTTAGTGGATCTCATTCGAAGTCCACTAACATTGTTTGCTGATATATATAAACCCTAAGACTTAAGCTGAACACATTTTCCTTCTTAATTTTCTGACCAAACGAGAAGAGGAAAGGGAAAGAGGAGGGTTCGGCAGCCCAGCAACAGTAGAGTTAGTGGTTCTAGGAGGAACTTTTTCAAGGTTAGCACTACGTTAAGATAAGTTTTAGTTTTATTTAACTTAGTCTAATGGAATTTGGAGGTTAAGTTGCTGGAATTAGTATCTCATGAATTCAAATAGTAAGTCGGAACTAGGAAAACTTAAATTAGATGCATATAAAGAATTTAAATACATGCAAAGTAAAAATTACCTGGAGTTTGTTCCTTCTTGTTTGTATGCTGAAACTTTGTGATTGATGATTTTTGGATTGAAAATCTATAAGCAGATGAAATGAGAAACTATGTTAGTTATGTAGTTGTTTAATATTGCTTTTATATATGTTTATGTAAGTTATTTATGAAGTAGAATTGATTCATGTATTTAGTAACATCATAAAACGTGCTGCATTTGAATTGAATCTATGGTAAAGACCTATGCTAATGGCTAGGGAAAGGGCTTCTAAAGTTAACTAGATTGATTTGGGTTGTTAGACCTTTTCACAGAAAGATATCTAGGCTGGTCCATAGACTTAGTAAGATTTACACTCACAAAATGAGTTCCACAAATTTGTTCATGGACAAATGGAAACATAAATTCATGCTAAAGTTTTCCTCAGATTTACACTCAGTGATTAATCTATGAGTTCCATTGATTTACATGCAAAGTAACAATTACCTGAAGTTTGTTCCTTTTGGCTATCTTGTGTGCTAAAACTCTATGGTAAGTGATTTTCAGGTTCAAAATCTGGAAGCATATGAAATGAGAAACTATGTTAATTATGCAGTTATTTAATCTTGCTTATCTATATGTTTATGTAAGCTAATTATGAAGGAGAATTGATTCATGTATTGAGTAAGCATCATAAAACATGTTGTATTGGAATTGAATCTATTGTAAAGACCTATGCTAATGGCTAGGGAAAGGGCTCCTAAAGTTAACTAAGCTAATTTGAATTGTTAGACCTTTGTGCAGAAGGATGTCTAGGCTGGTCCATATACTTAGTGAGATGTCCACTGACAGAATGAGTTCCACATAGATTTGCTCATGGACATATAGATAAATTCATGCTAAAACTTACTTTGCTTATTACTTATGTGAAACTTGAAATATTTGTAATTTTGTTGAGAGTGAATGAATCCCTAACTTAAATGTTCGGTGCTAGTGAGCATTGATGGAACTGATTCTGCACCCTTGGGCAAAAATGCTGCTTTTCTAGATTAAGTTCAAAGTATGGTTGGTATATGTTACACTAGTTTCCCTAAATTACTTTATTGAAATTCTTACTGAGCTTCGCATTGTTACAGGTAAAAGCAACTAGAGGCAGCACACATATTTTTAGGAGCCTAGGAAGCATCTACTAGTCCAAGTGAAAGCCTGGAGGTAACCTTGGTAAGACAATTTTAAACTCATCCCAAAACCTAGTCCTAGCTCGCTGATTTTGTGTCATGTACCTGTGATATATATGATATCAATGATTTTTGTAAACGCTTAAAGCTGCCGTAAAGGAACACATTGGCAACCTATGAGCTTCAAAGACTATATATTGAACTTGTGTATAATTGAGTGTCTTGAATTGTCTTATTAAACAGATTTTAGAGATTGTCAAAGCCAAATGCCTTTGCTTTTTTTTGATCAGCAAAAAAATTTTTTATTGATAGGAGTACAAGGGGTACCCCAAACCCATTTACATTGAGAGATACTCCGCTATTAGCTTATAATTCATTGATTTATACCACAAAATAGAGATATAAGAAGTCAAATCAAGGATTAATTCCTTAGCCTACATGCTTCCATTGGTGATTTTAGCCATGAATTCCAATCAAGATCAGAACAGATGCTAGCTTTAATCCAAAAAAAAGATCGGCATTTGACAAGCTCTATTACCTTTTCCATTGTAGTTGCCTCCTCTTGAAAGATTTGGCCATTTCTCCATAACCATAAGGACCATACAATGCAAAACCAGACCACTGCCCATGCCTTCTGTAAGCATTTGCTAGATATTAAGCCAAATGCCTTTGCTTTTACTTAAGTTATTAGTTCTAAAATTTTGAACTGTAGATCTATTGAGATTTTTAGCTCGTTGGTTCTTGAACTACAGCACTTATCCTCGTAAACTTTTAACTTGAAGTGTTCATTAGCTTCAAATTCTTTCTGAGAACAAGTTTAGGTGTAAATTTATTTCAAAACGGTATGAGATGTCAGCAATCTTAAGCAAAACCTGAAGTATTTTGCTAAATTGAAATTTAGACATTTACTACTTAAAATTACAAGAACTTCTAATTTACATTCAAACCTTTTTTCAAGCTAAAATTCAGATTTGGGATGTGACATCTAGAGAGCTATATATTGTCTCCAAGTAATGAAATATCAAATTTTGATTTTTTGGAGTTTTTGACTTCTACAAACAAACAAATCCCTTTTCTTTCTCCATAGGTCAAGAAAGCATGTTTCTAAATCTCTTGTAGGATAGATTTCAACAAAATGAATGCAATCTGAGTGGAATGAATTATAAAAATTCCAAATAAAAGGGGAGAAAATTTAATACCTCGTACAGATCGCTTCTTTGATATAATCCACTGGTTGGTTGTTGCTTGCTTTTTCTGAGTCCTCTCATGTAAATCTTAGACACTGATTTTATGAAGATTGAGATGATAGAATATAAACTTGCAGCCACGGATAGGTTTATGTAATTAATCAACCGACATTTGAATTCTCTATAACAAGAAAAGGAAATCTAAAATTGCAGCAAAGTACTCTCAGATTCTTATCCACTTCAAGAAGTAAGGAAGCCAAATACCAAAAAAGTAAGGCATCTTACAAAGAAGAATTGAAAATGAAGAAAAGAACGAGAAAGTAAGGCATCTTACAAGCAAAACTGAAAATGAAGAAAAGAACTACAAGAGAAGAAGCCAGGGATCTAACCTCTTGAATGAAGAAAAGAACAAGTTGAGAAGAAGCCAGGGATCTCACCTCTTGGCTTGAATGTCACAAACTCATCCATGTTGTTGCCAGTGCTGCTTGCAAGTTGCAATTCAGATTTCAAGTCTTGACAATCGAAGGATCAAGGCTCCGCTAAGTGGTATTGCTCTAATTACTGTATTGATGAAAATTAAATTTTTCAGTATTTCTCATTACACTTGCCGAGGATATATGTAGTCCCTGAATTGAGATTAAAATCAGTGCTCCTTTATATGGTTCAAATCTAGTTCAAGAGTAAAAGGGTCAATTATTCTGTTACTTATTCTGTTACGAAACTTTATTTAGTTTTGTAGAGGACAGAGTCCACACCGTGTGGCGTGTGCAAAACAGAAGAATTCCTTTTAACCTCTTCTTATAGTTTTGATGAGTTTAGTTTGGAGCTCATCAAAACTTTCAAGTTAGGATATGATTTGGTCTCAGTTTCAAAGAATTCCTTTTAACCTGTAATAATAATAAAAAAAAAGAATTCCTTTTAACCTCTTCTTTTCGTCCTTATATTTCCTCGTTTTATTATTTTAATAAAGCCGCAAGAAGCAACTAGAACAAAATGAAAATAGAACACTGTACAAAATTTTACTGAAATGAATGCTAAACTGCATTTAATGAAACCTTAATCTAGAAGGGAATTCAAGCTGGTTGATCAAAAATTCTAATTCGTTAAGCAGCAAACAGGATTACAACATTGTAACAGCCAAACTACCGCAGAACGATAATAAATGATCTCAAACACAATCATTTTACCAAAAACATTTTTCTTGAATAATTGCAAGTAGCGAGGAAATCAGTATTTAGCATCAATTGATTAACACAACACTCCTACTCTTGGTCAAGAAACAGAAATATTCACTTCTTTGCAGTTGGTGCCGGTATCAAACTATCTAATAGGTCAAAATGGCAAAACCAGAAACGAAAAATTCCATCAGTGAGGATTTAGGTTCC